TATATATATATATATATATATACTGTATATAGTGATGGCTTTTCCCCTTTGCCCTCTCCCCGCAGTATCTTCCGGATGTTTTCTGCTGACAGAAAGCGTGTGGAGACGGCCCTGGAGAACTGCAATCTTCCTTCAGGCAGGGTGAGGATTAGTCCGGTGTCACTGGGTTCTGTCTGCCGGCTTCCGTGTGCACTGCCTGAGGTTTGCCAGGCCGTGCCGCAGCGCTGGAGGGCAGGTCCGTTTGGCTGACTCCGCGGTTCTGATACTCGCATCGATTGGGGTTGTATATGTGCTCACTCTGAAGGGCGCAGCTAGTGGCCGTACCCTGGACATCGCTCCGCGTCCCAGTGTGTTTACAATCATATCAAATCACAGCTGTGTTTGCTACCATGTACTTTCATTTAAGTGAGTCTGAATTATTTATCTTCACAAGAAAGGACAAAAACATCTGTGTGATTTCTTTTCAAACATACTCTTGAATATTATGGTTTTCGACCCCAAATCTGTCGATTGGTTTTTTTTGAGAGGCTGTATGTTTATCCATGCAGTGGTTGTTTTGCCGAGACAAAGACTGAAAAATCAAACACAAAATAAGATCAGCACCATTTTAAATTAAGGAAGAAACAAACAAAAACAGTTCAAACTTTGAAAAATGCTAGACTTAAGACACAAACTCAGGAAGCCCATGGTGTCTAATGCTGTACACAAGCAGAGCTCCTCATTAGCCAATCAGTTGCACCCTGCTAGTCATACTCATGCCATACGATGTCCACTCAGGGCCAGCTGGGCTTCATTAACTGCGGCTTGTGTTGGCTAGAGTGGTTCATCGATTTCCATGGCAATGCAGAAATCACTCACAGTGAGATCCCTGCCACTCTTCTGCCTGCACCATCTTACACTGAAGTGGAGCATTAAAGGCTATTTTGTGGTTTTGTTTTTGCATAGTGGTTTTCTCCCGTGACTTTGGTCTGCTCTGTCTTCTCCAGAATGATTCAATTCCCCAGGATGATTTCACACCAGATATCTTTCGAGTTTTCATAAGCAACATCTGCCCAAGACCAGAGATCGACACCATCTTCTCAGAATAGTAAGATCAGTGATTTCATTTTTGAGAGGTTTAATCATTAATTCATTTATTTAAATGGGTAATTTATTGGTTAAAATTATTTCTGTTGGTTTATTCTGGTTCACAGTGGGTGTAGTAATATTACTATCAGCATAACATTGAAATTGGTTAACAATGTGCAGGGATGATAAATACGGAGAAAAAATGGATCTGTTAAATTATTGAGTCAATTAATGTGTGAATACTCCGGCGACCACTCAGCATAATTTCTGTCTCGATAAGCCATTCCTCCTTATTTATTATTTAAGAAGCATGTTTGTATTATTAGTTACCGGAGATTTGATACTTCCTTGGCTCTTTCGTATCCCTTGTTCAGGAGCAAAGTCAAGTTAACTGTTAGTTAAGTAAATTTTTTGCTTGGAACAGCTCTGAGGCTCTCAGTAAATTAATGCAGCGATGTCAGCTACAGCCGCAGTGGGGACTGATGATAATAATGATGATAATCCATAAAGGAGTTGCCTGTATCACGAAGCAGGACTTCTTGCTTTGCCAGATAACTTGTTAGATTTAAGGTAGTCTGGGCTAAATGAATGTGAATTCAGATAAATGAATAGTGAATAAAGATAAAGGCCATTTAAACTGGGGTACCTTAAATCTGACAAGTTATCTGGCTAAGCAAGAAATCCAGCATATGACTAGGGAATGATGCAAAGGTGAATGTTAGCTAATACCGGCTTTGTAATTAATTAGAAGGTTTGTTTTATGCTCAGTTATGTTCATATGTGGGGTGGTGTGTGGCTCTACAGGTGTGCCTGTGATCAGAAGGTCATCGGTTCAAATCCCAAGGTCGTAAGAATGAATTTACTGTTGGATCCTTGAACATGACCTTTAAACCCAATTGCTCCAGGGACTGTCTGATTCTGCATTCTGATCCAATAAAATATGTATAATTCACTGATATTTCTAGCTTGTAACAAGGTGGCTTGGCTGTACTGGGTAGTATGCTGTGGAGAGTCTGTTTACAGGGGTGATCTGGGCTCAGAGGTCGATGACAGAAGATGCGAGCAGAAAGCAGAGTCCAGGGATGTCTGTCATTTATAATAACATTATAAAAAATAATATTCCATCTAAACAGATGAATGATAGTTTTGTTCATTAATTCCTAATTGTAGGATGCCCAGGTTAAGTCTCTCCTGCCAGTTCACCAAGTAATTCCCTTTTAAAACCACAGCAGATATAGCCCACCTGAAACCTTCCAGCACAGTTGGGTATTCCCCTACAATTTTCATTCATATCACCAGCAAACCCCCTTAACACTTCTGTAATGGGCTTACCCAATTTCCATCAAAACCACAATTGACTATTTATTTATTAATCAGGCGTTTGTTGCATAACCATTAACTCAAATATCAATAAATTTAAATTGAAAGTAACTACAAATAAATCAAACCATTGTTATAAATAAACAGGGCAACTTCATAATATACACCCAACATATAACAATTTCACTGTATTTTATATACAATTTGGATGGGGAATGCTGTAACCTCAGGTATGACATCACACTATTGTGTTCCATCTATAGTCAGTAAACCTATAACCCTAACCATGATGGTGATCATAAGTTGTCTATTGAAGCAGCTAAGCATTAGTTATGTACTGTACTGTATACGCACGACGGGCATGTTAACAGTTGTCTCCCGTCCACAGTGGCGCTAAGAGTCGGCCCTATCTGATGGTAGATCAGCTGACCGACTTCATAAACAGCAAGCAGCGGGATCCACGGCTTAACGAGATCCTGTACCCGCCGCTGAAGGCCGAGCAGGTACAGCTGCTCATTGAGAAGTACGAGCCCAACGTGAGCATGGCCAGCAAAGGTCAGTGTGCCGCCACCTGCCCCCGTCTGCTGGAATGTGTGACACCTGCGAGGGTGTTTCCTCCCCCAGAGAAGTCACAGGATGTGACTGACATGCATTATTGTCATACATCTGCTTTTTTTCCTTTAAGGTTTACATTTTCAAATAAAAAATACATACAGTACAGCTTTGTATGTACATGGGTACACCAGCATACCTTTCTACTAAAGTGAGAAATTTTATTTTGCTACACTGATGATAACTTTGTTGTTCATTAAATTCTGTGTACGATAGTTGTGTTTTTTTTAATTAGACCTGAATTGTAATCATAAAGGATTGAATACTGTACATTTTTCTCTATACATCTTTTTTCAGTCTGTTATTTTCAGAGCTCTTTGCATGCTCATGTATACTCTGACCAGTTCGATTTAATGTTAACTGCCTCTCAGGGATTAAAATGAATGAATACAGAGCAGTTCTGAGTGTTTTGTGGGCTCTTTCCAAGGTCTCAGTAAGTGGTCTTTTCCTGCTTTCTGTTTATATTAAAAGAAGGCAAAGTACCCATTGTCTTTTTCATTATTTATTGTTTTGTTGATTGACTGAGAATGGAAACTTCAGCAAAATGGAAAACAGTGCCCATGGTTTTACCACTGGTTAATGCATTAGAAGCCTGTTCCATTTAATGTAGACATTCTGTAAATTTATAGTCCTGTGTGTTGGTAGTTTTGCTTGAACCTTTTGCCAGTTTGAATCCCTATGGTGTGTAAGGGCACTGGCAGCATGTAGCTCATGTAGTTAGGAATGTGTGTCCAGAATGTCATGGATTTGAATCCCATAGCTGGATGCTCTCTGATATGAAGCTGTGTTCACTTGTACATCACTTTGGACAAATATTTTTGTTAAGTAAAGGGAAGGATCAACTACCATGTACTGTGTTTCCTGTTTAAAGAGAAGGTTAAAAACCTGTTTTCTGAATATTTATTGAATTTTCAGAAGTGTAACATGGTGGTTCAGTCGGCAAACTGGCTTGGTTTTGTACACCTTTCACTCAGGCTCTGGATTCCGAAGGCGCGTCGGCCAGTCAGGTGTCTGTAGGTGCTTCTGAGTTTTTCGCGTTACTCTGCCCACGCCCTCAACATGTGCTGCTGGCAGCGTCAGTCGTGGCATTTCCAATGACTACAGTTCACATTTTGAAGATGCAAACTGAAAAACCGTTAATGTAAACATTAAAAAAATAACATCACATATCGCAAAAAAAATTACATTTGAGCCGGGTTCTTTAGTGAGCCGAAAAAAAGTGTTTCGTGAAACTACGATGGAAACAGAATTTGCGAAGTAGTAGGTAGTAGGTGCGCAGGACATGATAATTAGTTCTTCTGGAGCTACTAAATCACGGAAAGCCCACTTGACATTAAAATACGAGACATGGATCTTAATCTCACTGGATAATAAATGGCAGTTATTATTCAAATGACATGCATTAACACACCATATCCACAATTTTACTTTGTCGACAAAACTTTAATGGAAACACAGCTAGTGGTTTGTTTCTGTGAACAATTTGGGTTCCCAGCATGCCTTGCTTTGCCAAGCAGCGCCCATGTTGAGGGTGCGAGTAGCCGCTCTGCAAATATAAGGTGACCCTTCGCGGACATTTAACATTTCCATTGGCCAGGTCTTTATAGGTCAAAAGTCTGGTTATCACAAAATGCTGGTGTTAATTAGGTCAGAAATACTTTCAAGGACAAGGCCGCATTAATTAGTAAGAATTATGGGGGGGTGGGGGGGTTGGTGAAGACATTTTCCCAGCTTTTCAGGGTGCATTAATCCAGGGAGCACACATTAATGTGCAGGCTTCCCTGTAAGCAGGCTGACTTTTTACGAGAACCAGACGGATAAAATCAAGATCTCTCACAGTCCAGGTGGATCTCTTCAGCATGTTGTGGGGAGAATCTTCTAGTTTTATTGTGCGGAAAAATTTTGGGCTCCAACAGTTATCCATCTGTGTAACTGCTAAGAAGTCAATCTGGTTAGGGTTGGGTGGGGGGGGAGTTCAGAGCACAGTGCTGGGGTACACCCAGGATGGGATGCCAGTCCATCACAGGGCACAGTGCTGGGGTACACCCNGCACAGTGCTGGGGTACACCCAGGATGGGATGCCAGTCCATCACAGGGCACAGTGCTGGGGTACACCCTGGATGGGATGCCAGTCCATCACAGGGCACAGTGCTGGGGTACACCCTGGATGGGATGCCAGTCCATCACAGGGCACAGTGCTGGGGTACACCCAGGATGGGATGCCAGTCCATCACAGGGCACATACACACATATGATTATTGCTGGCTGGGTTTCACTGCCACTGTAAGGGAACTCGCTTAGCACATTTCCATTTCCCACCCCTCTGCAGGACAAATATCAGTGGAGGGCTTTGCCAGGTACCTGAGTGGGGAGGAGAACAGCGTGATCCCACCCGACAAGCTGGACAAGAGCGAAGACATGACACATCCCCTCTCCCACTATTTCATCAACTCCTCCCACAACACCTACCTGTCAGGTGAGCCTCATTCTCTCAAGTTTGTTATGCCATGACTTGCAATTGTATCATACTATTTAATTTCCAATTACTGTTACTTTGCACCTTCTGATCCTTCTGGATGGCTAGAAAGGGCTACATTGCCTCTTGTTCCCATGAATACTCATGAGCAAGATAGATGGAATGGGTCTTCAAACAGAATTTCTGTTTTGGTTATGACAGAATGTGCCATTTAGATTCAGTTATGCAGAGAATGGATCTTTTCACGTTATGTACACACATGGTGTTAATTTTAATTACAGTATTTTAGCTGATAAGGGCTTGAAAATGTCAATTTCACAGAAGGAAGAGTGAATTATAAAGAACTTACTAATGTTCTACTGCATGGGAGGAAACAGGATAAAACTGGCCTGGGTATCTTGGCTGGTTGCCGTGTCTTCTCCAGAAACCATTACTGGAATATTCCAGAATTTCCAACATACTAATAGGCGAGCTTACATACTTGTGTGTAGTGTCTTAAGAAAACACCCCTGGCCTTCCTGGAAGTCAGAGTAGCTGGCAGTTGTAGTGATATTTGTTGAAGAATGACCAGATGTTACGGAGGGCCCTGTGTCTCACATGGAGCTGGGAACCGCTATAGGGGAAGCAGGACTGACCATCTGAAGGGGCTATTTTTGGGACTGACGGACGCGCGTCTCTGTTTCCACAATACGACGTGAGGAATGCTCTTAAGCTTCGGGAACGTTTGAAGGTCACGCCGAAGGTAATGTGAGTTCGGCGGTGTGTCTGCAGCGGGCCAGCTGGCCGGCAGCTCCTCGGTGGAGATGTACAGGCAGGTGTTACTGACGGGATGCCGCTGCGTGGAGCTGGACTGCTGGAAGGGCCGCACGCCTGAGGAGGAGCCCATCATCACGCACGGCTTCACCATGACCACCGAGATCTCCTTCAAGGTGAGGAGGGGGGTCACTCACTCCGTATTTTAAGATGTCTAGCTATTATAACCAGCTCACCTGGTCGCTGTCATGCAGTGTGGAAGATTATTCTTCGGATGGGGATTCCCAGCTCAGCTTCTCTAGGACAGGAGCTCAGCCTCAGAGAGACAAATGGACAGACAGACAGTTTATTGGTTCAAAAGTAAGATTCTGGTTTACAGTAGCACCGCACACACATTTCGACATTACCAAGAAAAAAATAGACATTAATATACAGTAATAATAAATAATAAACAACAATAAACAGCATCAGGGCAAAGAATGTTTATGAAAGTATTGCACAGAATTCCGTGGTAAGTAAATAGAATTAAAAAGTGGCATGCAGTGCACTATTCAGCAAAGGAATGTATTTGCGGATCTGTGATACTGTAGCCCGTACTTCACCGCAGACAGTCTACCTGCGAGTGCCTCCTGTGCTAAGAGTGTTACGGATTAATCCGGATCAGGGGGCAGCTTGGGAAGGAGCTGCCATGGCTTTTGTTTACTGTCAGCGATTATGGAAATGTACACGGAGGTATGATGCCCAAATTAATGCCTGATGTGCGCCCATTACAGACCCGGGGGTGGGGGGGGCTTTTTTTCCTGTGACGTATATCTCCGGACCTGGGGAACCGTCTCTTCTGGCAAGTTCTGAGCAGGGGGGGGGGGGGGGGAGCGTGTCGGCCAGCGATAAGCGTGCTGGGTTACAGAGGAGCCGGGACCGATGTTTTTACCATAATGAGGCAATGAAGGAAATTATAGTGAAAATATAAAAGAAGAGTAATCAGCGGCAGTAAACGCCTGCTGCCAGGTTCAGGTGTCAGCTTCTTTACTTTGTACACGCCCAGGGCTTCTGTGTCACTTTATCAATCCAAATGGTTTCATTTGCTTCTGTGCTCTGTGCCTCCTTTGGTTTTTCACACATTTTTTTTCTTTCTGCCATATGTGCTATATTGCATGTTAAATGTCATTTTCTTCGTCTTGTTTTTAGGGAAAGCTTTGACTTTGTGTGGATGTCAGAAATCACTGATTTTCTGTCCCCCCCTGCCCCCGCACACATACACAGGAAGTCATAGAGGCGATCGCAGAGTGTGCATTCAAGACGTCCCCCTTCCCCGTCATCCTGTCCTTCGAGAACCATGTGGACTCGTGAGTGGACATTGATCCTGGATGTTTCACAGCATACCGTGGGCTTTGGGATATCCCTGTCCATTTTCCCTTTTCCTGGTTCTGTTTCCAAGTTTACACCCATGTTGAAATAGAACTTGACTGGCTTATGGATTTCTCACAGAGCTGTTTAAAAGGGCCGTTAATGCAGTGGTTATAGAGTAACTGTGCCAGTTATTTAATAACTGCATGCTCTGCATGTATTTGCTTACAATGCGTCAACTGGCTGGAAAACAAACATCACTCATTGTATCAGAGCAGTATCTCATCACGTACTCAGGCTGTTAGGGGGTGTCTGGTTGTACTAACCTTTTCAATTGTCTGTCTGTTCTTTCATGACAGGCCAAAACAACAGGCCAAAATGGCTGAATATTGCAGATCGATATTTGGCGATGCTTTGCTAACAGAATCACTTGAGAAATACCCAGTAAGTAAATAATATGTGTCTTAAAGTGAAATTAAATGAACATGACAGTGAACCAAGTCTGTATGCATTCTCATAGTGCCGACATATACGCAAATGTAAACTGCCTTTTACATGCACGAACGAATAGTCCTCAGGGCGCAGTGACAGTTTCAAATGACCCAGTAAACTCAGGTGACGCTGTGTCCTGGCACTTAAGCTGCATGGGCCATTGTCATTGGCACGGAGAGCTGAGAGCATCGGTGCCCGTGTTAACCTATCTGTTAAAAAGGGCTACCTTTTTGGTAAATGAAATGTAAATTTGTCATGGCCTAATCTGAGTGGTCAGTCTTGGCAAGCCTGTATCTGCTTGTCTGGTTTCCATGGCTACAAATCAAAAGCACATATTGTCTCTCGACAAAAGATGTCGTCCAAGACCCCATTGCGTAACAGCCGGGGTTTTCGGTAGTTTGCTTCACCGTCCTTCATCAAATTATGCGGTCAGCCTGAAGTTTGCAGAAGCGGCTGAGCCCGCTGTCAGTAATGGAGCATTACCTGCCCTCATTCGATCTAGGGGGCAGTAGTTAATTAAGAGTGGAGGACTGAGGAGGACTTGAGGTGAGGTGCAGACTAGATGTTGACCTGTATTGTGTGGATATATGATGTGTCTTCTGTTCCTTTGGATCATAATGTGGTATTCCTTACATGTCTGACACAGGCATATGCTGGCAGAAGGTCAGCGTATATATTTGGTCACTTTCTGGAGATCAGTATCTCCAGAGCTCAAACCATTTGTCCCGGTCAGGTCGTGTTTTTATTTTCAATTATGTAGTTAAATTAGAAGCCTGGAATATAGGCCACTTGCTATCCAAAAATGGCGTGTTATGAATAGCAAATTGTATTTCAGATAATGACAGATTTTAAGTGAACCTTACAAAGAGTCATGTGGCCCGAGGGTTTGTTCATTTTAACCCAAAAAATATCCTAGAAAGTTATGCATAGAGAATGCATCCCTTTAGCGAAGGTGACAGTGGGGACCTGCACTCCTGCTGACCGACAGCAGATGATGTCTTTGAAGTTATGAGTCCATCACTAACCTCTACCCCCCCCCCCCCCCCCCCTTACCCAGCTGGAGGCCGGAGCCCCACTGCCCAGCCCACAGGAGCTCATAGGGAAGATACTCATCAAGAACAAGAAGAAGTCCCCCAAGTCATCAGAGGACAGTGTGAAGAAGAAGCTAGCAGAGCAGGCTTTGAGTGCCCTCAATGATTCCTCCTCCGTGTCCTTCGAAACCCCAGCCCCCCCTGCAGGTACGGCGGTATGGACACTATGATGTCATAACAGGCAAGACGCCAGCTATGATGTCCTGATGTTCTGCAGGCGGAGTCCCAGAATGTTTATAAACATTAAAATCCGGTAAAATAGTTTCCCAGCCATGCCCCTAAGTGCAGCAGTCCAGTTAAAGTCACACACGCGCATATATATGCTAGGTTGACATACCACATAAAATACTGCAGTGTACTATGCATCCTTTCCCTAATGACCTTTTGATAATTATGTGAACTTCTACTGTTCCTTTTTTAATTTAGGTTTGTTCAATTGAACTGCTGAGTATTTTCAAAGTGTAGAGAGCTAAATGGTAGCAGGCGTAATCGATACTTGTAGCACAAGCCTATAAACTGAATCATGAAGATATAAATCCACAATGTACAGCAGTCCAATCCGCGCCATTGGTTCTTTACTTCATAGCGCCTCCTGGTGGCACGTTTACTCCATGCATATAGACTGTGTTTCCTCCAAAAACATATGTGGCAAATGTGCATAGCTAATGTAGAACCTGTACTGAATATCTGCTTTGACGTTTTGTGCAGTTTTGTATGCTGTTTTGCTTGGCATACTGGGCATATAGGCTGGCAAAATTCCCCCACCGGTGGACAACCCCATATTGGTTGGGGGGAGTCCAGCCTTAATCACAGTACACATGTGCAATTTAGAATCACCAGTTAACCTTACTGCATGTGTCTGGATTGATGAAAAAGAAAATCCGTGGAATTATGACCACACAAAAATGCTATAAAATTATATTTTAAAACATTTATTTCACTAGCCAGTTAAATGAATAACGGCATCATGGACTTCCAGTTAAATTATTTAGACTCCTGTGAACATAATATAAGTAATGATTTTCACCCACTTATCCACTCTGGGATTGCAATGAGTCAGATGTCTGTCGCAGATAGTACAGGGGACACCCAGGATGGGATGCCAGTCCATCGCAGGGCAAACCGCCACACATATGAAATTGGGCGAAACATGCCAGCTCACTCAACACATGTCTTTGGACTGTGGGGGAAACCCTGCAGAGATACAGGGAGAACAAGCAATCTCCACGCACACAGAGATGGTAAACACAGAAACTCCACACACAGAGAGGTGAGGGAACATGCAGAAACTCCACCCGCACCGAGACGGGGAACACGCAACCTCCACACGCAGAGAGGTGAGGGAACATGCAAAAACTCCACCCACACAGAGAGGGGGAACACACAACCTCCACACGCAGAGAGGTGAGGGAACATGCAAAAACTCCACACGTACAGAGATGGGGGGAATTGAACCCAGAGCCCCTGCAGTGGGAGGGCCCAGTGCTAACAGCAGAGACACAGCTCCACTTCTACTTAAGAAGGTTACTTCTTTGAATTTTTTTTTTGAGATTCTGAAGATTCACATTGTTGTTTTCAGTTATCATTCATATTGAACCATTTATTTTTCAAACCACTTAAGCTTAAGATCACTTTTATTTGTATTGATGAAACAGTGTCACTATGATGTTAAACTCCATGCTTCATGTATTGTATGTTCACCATCTGGTGTCTGTTTCCATTACACGCGTATGACAGGTCAGTCTCCAGAAGTCCAACACCAGTGAAGTCAGGGTGTTGCATGTGTAGACTTGCTGTTCTTTAAGCTGTATTGTATTACTACTTGCAGAGGTGGCCTTTGCATTTTTTTAATCATGTAGTGCACATACATTTTTTAAGAATCTGCCTAAATGTGAAGTCGTTTTGCCAACCCAGGGATTTGATCCAACAGCCATCTAATTCCAGGCAGAGCGCCCGAACCGTCGGAGCCACTCAGCCCCATTAAACAAACAGTGCGGCTCTGATGCTGTCATGTTAAAGACGTGCTTTCCTCATTTCTCCCACTCTGACACACTAAATGCTGTAACACAACGGGGGGTGGGGTGAGGCGGGGGGCCGTGTGATTCATTCACGCCGTGAGTTTGACTCGGTGCCTGTGTGACACACTGAGGGTTTATTCTGTGTAAGGTCATTAATGATCAGTGTCACTGCCCAGATTCCTGTTCTCTGGCTTGTGACCACTGAGTGACTGCATGGATGGGACCACAGAGGTGATACTGTGATCTCCCTGCCCTGCAGTGTCTGCAGTTCAGCATTTACCCTGTGACGTCTTAACAGGCGGCACGAATACTTTGTACTTTTAATTCATTTTTAAGCAAAACTGCTTCTCCTTGTCTGCTTGATTAACGGCTTTAATAAAGTGATTATAGCTGGCAAAAGCACGCAGCTCGCACTGAACGCGACCTTTTTTTGAAGCATCCTGCTGGGTTTTCCAGCAGCCAACCAGAAGAATGGCTTAGATCAGCACGCAATACAAGGGTATTAAAAAATCATCAAGTCTGAGTGACAATACAAGACTGTGGGTGTGTGTGTGCTTGAGTCCATGTCTGGATGCTTCTTTATGTGTGTCAATGTCTGCAAACTGGCACAATTGAGAAGTCATGACAATTATTGATGACTGGGATAATTAAAATGGATGCAGGTGCTGTTAAGCTGGAGGTTTCATTTTGCGAATGCGAGTGGCCCCCGTCTCCCTGCCCTTGACACCCCCACAGACACCTATCAGCAAACTGCAGCCCATCCCCCACCTTCATATTCTCTTAGCGGCTGGATTGAATCCACCCCTTGTAATTTTTGTGCCAATATGGCACTCATCTGTGATGCTTTGAACTGGAGCTATTAGTGAGTGGTTGGTGGGGGGGGGAGTTATTGATCTCAAAGCCCAGGCTTCAATAACCTGGAGACTGCAGGTGCCGCCCAGCAGGCTTTCCAGGGGGGGTGGGGGGGCAATGACATCAGCATTGCTGTTTAGCTGCATAGCGTAATGTTTGTCCAGCGAGGCAAAGGCTGGCATAGAAACAGCACCCCTGCGATACTGTCCTAGCTCTTGATACCTATCGTGTCCCAGTCTGCCGTGTTTTATTTGCCGCCTTTGCTGGGACGCTGTGTGGCTCATGGCCCGGCATCTTGACGGCCATCAAGTGTGAGAGAGAGGCGCCTCATCACCATCAGCCGTCCGATGGCCTTCACTGACGTATGCGTGTGACACATCCAGCCTCCCGTGACTTTCAGGCCGCTGTGACACCGCTTCATGTGTTTGGACACCAGAAGTTGTCATGCTGTACCAAACCGACGATGGAGGCCATCAGGGGGACCCACCGGTCCAAGGAATGTGTGGAGAAACTTAATTTCATGTGAGACTGAATGGGTTTTTATATGAACCCCCTCCCCCAGCATCTTCTGGTCCGTATCACCAGGAAGACAGCCAGCTTTTGGACAGTATGATTAATCGAGCCTAGGCAAGAACAAGACACGCATTAAACTATATCTCATGGGGTGTGAGAGAGGTTTCGCTCTTAACCAAGACAGGGGGCGGTGTGTAACTCGGCAGATTAATCCTCTGTGCCTGTGATCCGATGGTCACCTGTTCAAATGCCACATGCTCTAAACCAGTGTTTCCCAATCAACAACAACAACAACAACAAATTTATTTTTGTATAGCGCATTATCACAACATTACA